TTCTTTACAGGAGCTCCACAAAGGTGTTTTGGCTTTTCACTTTGTTGATAAGTGTGGTGGTCATGGAGGCATGCTGCTTGGTCTCCCTTCAAGAAAGATCTTATTCCTCAGCTGCGAGAAGTATGGTTAGCTGACAGGTTTTAGCTGCAGAACCTTTAGAATCCTTTGCAGCATTCAAGCTAAGGCCATACTCTTCCAGATCATCTCCCAGAAAATGACTGAACATGATGGGATGCTAGGGACATGGCTTTTCTGCCAACGTAGAACTCTGACAGATTGTCTTTGCACTGGAGCTCCACATTAGATTGGTCAAGACTCTGTAAGATCTGTATTGCATTTCCTGCATTGTTATCCCTGTCCAATTCTTCTTTCCTTCTTTCTTTTCACAAGTGTCAGCTCTGCTTTGTGGCCTGAAGGCTCTCTCTGCATAATCTTGTTTCCTTCCTTTTTATCTTTCATAAGTATTACTCCCTGATGTAGTCCATTTCTGTTGCTTGTAACAAAATACCTGAAACTGGGTACTTTATAAAGAAAACAAAATGTATTGATTAACAGTTTCTGAGGCTGAGAAGTCCAAAGTCCATCTGGTGGGTGGTGATAGTGACCCAGGGGTCTTGCATTGCAAGACGGTGGAAGCAGAGAGAGACAGAGTCTTCATGCTCCCTTTTAAAGCCCTCCAAACCACCCCATGTCTACCATTTTTAATCTATGCTCTACTGCATGGTCCCACAATCCAATCGCCTCTTCAAAGCTCCACCTGTCAATTACCGTAATAGTATTTTCCACCCTCTTGACAGTCACAGTGGGGGCTAAATTTCTAATACATAAAACTTGGGGGACACAATTCAAGCTTCAGTGAGTTTTGGAGGAACATAATTCAATCCACTACATTCTGCCCCAGCCCCCCCAAACTCATGTCTTTTTCACATGCAAATATATCCATTTCATCTCCAAAGTCTTGTTTCAATTCAAGAGTCAGAAGTTCAAAATCCCATCTGTGATATCAATACAAGTTATCTACTTCCAAGATACAATGGTGGGACAAACATAGGGTACATATTCCCATTCCCAAAGTGAGAAGTAGGCCAAAAGAAAGGGGTAATAGGTCGCAAACAAGTCTGAAACCTAGCAGGGCAGTCATTAAATCTCAAAGCCAGTGAATCATGTACCTTGAGTCCACGTTTGATGTTCTCCGAACACTGGGATGGGGCTTGAGTCCCTAAGTCCTCAGGCAACTCTGCTTCTATGGCTTTCCTGGTCTCAGGCCACACTTCAGCTCTCCCAGGCTGGTATTCCATCCTGGTAGCTCCACAGGTCTGGGGTCACCCCGGCAGTCTCACTCTCACGGCTCCACTAGGCATGGCGTTTTTGGGGTTTTTCTGCTGCAACTCTGACCCCATTTTTCTGATTGACACTGCTCTAGCAAAGGTTGTCTGTGGTGAATCTGCCTCTGTGATAGATCTCTTCTTGGGCCCCCAGACTTCCATACATCCTTTGAAATTGAGGTGGAGTCTCCCAAGCCTTCACAGCTCTGGCATTCTGTAAGCCTGAAAACTTAACACCACATGAATGCCTCCAAGGCTTCTGGCTTGTATTCTCTGAAGCTGTAGGTCTAGCCACACCTGGGGACATTTTAGTCAGAACTAGAGCATCCAAAGCAGCTGGGGTGCTTATGCTGGAAACAACTTCTTGAGGTAGCCCTGGGCAGTGAGCCTGTGGAGGCTCAGGCCTGATCCCTGAGACCATTCTGTCTCCCTACACCTTTGGGCCTGAAATGGAAGGGTTGGCCCCAGAGGCTTCTACAATGCCCTCACAACCCTTTCCCCCTTCTCTTGATAATCCCTTTCCTTTGTACTAATCTTCTTAGCATCATTGGATTTTTCTTCTGAAAATGCTCTCTGCTTCTCTACCACATGGCCAGGCTGCAAATTTTCCAAATCTTTATGCTCTGCTTCCCTTTTACATTCTGGCTTTATATTATGACTTTGCCCTCTGTAGGGAAAATACAGAAAAGTGGTCAGGGCTCCTCAGATGTTCAGAGTCTTGCTGAGCATTTGATGTAAATATGCACATGTCCAGGTGTTCCTTGGCTATCATCTAATGTAATTGTGCATGTGCACCCAGGTGTCCTATTATGGACTTAAGTATAAAAAGGACAAGTGGTTCTGATCCACAGGGCCTCCCAACCCCAGGATGCCCTCCCAGGAGGCCACTAATGCTGTTGGAGGCTACTAATGCTGTTGGAGGCTGTTGCTGCATGCTGTTCCTTCCAGTGCCACCAGGATACCCCGAGAGGCCACTGCCACTGCTGCTTCTGCTGCTACTGCTGCTGCAAGCTGCTGCTGCTACTGCTGAGGACTGAGCTCCGTTTGTCTGCTAATGGCTCCCACGATCTTTCCCAATTACATAGGACCTGTGTGTGAGGGGTCTGGTGACCCAGCCTGGCATGTGAGGGGTCTGGTGACCCAGCCTGGCATGTGAGGGGTCTGGTGACCCAGTCGGTACAAGAGTTTGAAGGGTCTGAGCGCTAGCCCTGACAATACAAATGGAATACTTAGTATAACTAAAATAATGAAATGTTTTGGCTTTAGTTATGAATTGCTGTAACCTGACAATTGGCATAGTCGGGTAGCAATACTCTCCCATAACTCAGCATAGGCTGTTAGAAGTAACCATGCAGCTTCTTGAATGTTTTGCTGCTTAGAAATTTCTTCTGCCAAATACTCTGGTTCACTACTCTTAAGTTCCAATTTCCACAAAATCCTAGGGCATGAACACAATGCAGCCAAGTTTATTGCCAGTTAATAGCAAGGTTGATCTTTGCCTCAGTTTCTGAAAAACTTCTTATTTCTATCTGAGACCTCCTTAGAATGGTATTTACTGTCCATATTTCTAACAGCATTCTGTTCTCCACCATGTAACCAGTCTCTAAGACATTCCAAACTTTCCCTCGTCTTGTCTTCTTCTGAGTTTTTCAAACTCCTCCAACCTTTGCCTAACACCCAATTCCAAAGCTGCTTCCGCATTTTCAAGTATCTGTTATAAGCAACACCTCATTTCTCTGGTACCAATTTTCTGTATTAGTCTGTTACTGTTGCTTATAACAAAATGCATGAAACTGGGTGATTTATAAAGAAAATGAAATTGCTTACAATTTCTGAGGTTAGTTAGTCCAAAGTCCATCTTGTGGGTGGTGACAGTGACCCAGTTGTCTCACATTGCAAGATGGTGGAAGCAGAGAGAGCAGAGAGAGACAGGCTCTTCATGCTCCCTTTTTAATGCCCTCAGAACCACACTCCTGACTACCATTTTTAATACACTCACTACTGCATGGTCCCACAACCCAATCACCTCTTCAAGGCTCCACCTTTCAATTACCATAATAGGATTTTCCACCCTCTTAATAGTCACAGTGGGGGCTAAGTTTTTAATACATAAAACTTGGGAGACACAATTCAAGCTTCAATGAGTTTTGGGAGAACATATTTCAATCCACTACACTCCCTAGTAATCATATTATACTCCTAACTCTGGATCGGCATCTGCTTCTGGTAGTATCTGAGCAAGATGCATTTGAGAGAAATAAATTGACAGATGGGTCACATTAGAAGAAAACGAAGGTCACTTCCAACTCCACAATCCTGTAATGTTTTAAAATGCAGCCTCATTGATTGCTCCTAGGCAGAATTGGATAATCATTTTACAACAATTCTACAAAAACCTAGTGAGATTTACTACCTGAGATCCCTTTTGAGGTAAAGAAGGTACCTGTCTAAATCACAAACTTTATAGATTGGAAAATTCATATTTTCTTCATAATTGCAAAGGTGTATTCATATTGTGGTCCTTAAAATTAATTTCACTTGCTAGCACTTGCAACTATGTAGAGTCATTCAAATCTGCTAAACTCAGCACCAAAAGATGGAAATATATTAGTTTCTGGTAAAAGGTGCCTACTTAAAATAAGATCCTTGCAACATACATGTTTTCTGAGTAGATAGCACTAACATTGAAGATGATTAAAGAAAGAGGAGTAGAAAAACTATCCACTATCGTGCTATTTACTATAATTTGGAGAATATTTCAATTTGTTCTCCTATTACCATGTATCTACTATTACTAGTATTAATGATGCACCCATATCTTGCCTAATTGGCATATAACAAATAACAGATGGTAATCGGTTTTGAAATATGGACATTAATTAAATTACGCATCTTGCAATATATTCTTTCTAGGAGAAATTAAAATGTGCTCAAATTTACTTCATAATCTTCAGTAATGAAGTTCTTTAAGGTTTTTTTAAATGATGTGCTTATATAATGCGAATGGATTACAAAGGCTAACTTTGAAGGTTTGAAGTTAGAAAATAAGAAAATATTGTATTAGACCAGCCTGTGATTCCAAGACTCCTTTGTTTACACAGGGTAAACTAGGGAAAAAATAACAGCCAAAATATAACATTTCTCTGGGGCTATGCATACTCCAGTGTCTCTCATATTCTTGAAATAACTTTTGGAGCTCCTGGGTATATTGTGTGAAATCTAGTAATAAGACATAGCTACTGTGGCACGCAGAGGTTTTTTTACATTCCTATTTTTTAAAGTTGATCTTTATTGAGCCCCTATTATCTGCCAGATACCATGCTAGGTTCTTTATGTAAATTATATCATTAATTATCACAAGTCATAATGGATAGGGACTATTTTTATTTCCATTTTACACACAAGGAGTTTGAGTCATGGAGAGGTTAAATAATTTGACTGTCACCATAACTCACATTTAGAAATTATTTGAAGTATTAAATGGTTTTTGCCTGGCTTTAACCCAGCTATGGCTAACTGCAAGGACCGTGCTGTCATGGCCACTATGTTACCCAGACTTTTCTACTCCCCTACTTCCTATGATGTGCTCTCAGTCACTGGAGCAGAAAGTGCTACTGATTGGCATGGGAGATACTGCCGTAGTTCAGCTTCTGCTGTTGTATGCCACTTCTGCTGCCATTGAGACCCAGGCTGTGAATGCTCAAGGTGCAGGGAACTGATGTGCAAGAGTTTAAGGAACTCTTGGTGCTGCCAAATGTGTTGTTATCACTAACTTCACTGCTGCTGTCATTAGTACTGCTGCCAACACTGCCAGCCCTGCTTTTGCTGGTGCCAGAGCTGTTGATGCCTTGGGCTCTCAGTGTCCCAGGGTGATTCTGTAGACAAGCAGCTGCTTTTAGATTTCACTTGCTCATTACCTGTACATCCTTTGCCTTAGGACTCAGGCTTAAATCCATGGAGCCTGGGATACAGGACTATCAGACGTATGTTTTATCTTCCCTAGCATCTGGGACAACTGGCCTTGAACGAAACATGTGCACCTCAATTCTCTTTTTTCTTCTTCCCTAAAGATTTCTTTTCCCAGAGGCATTTTCTTCCCTCATGCGATGCCCTACTAGCCGTGGAAACGTGAGCATAAACAGTTGAACCCTAGAATGAACATAATTTAGTCTTAATGTGGAAGCCCATTATATATTTTAGTTTAAAAGAAATAAAAGAAAACACTTAAATTTCATAATCATGAATACATATAAATTTATATTTATCTGTGCAAGAATTGAATCATGATAGTTATTAAAGAATTACTCTGTAACTGTAAATAACTCATATCAAGCAAGGGTGGTTTCAGCATGGTTTTGAAAAAAAATAGTTACTAGAGCTCAAAAAGTCAAAACTTCCTTTGAAGAGCTATTAATGATTAATACACCTCATATCAAAAGACGTACAGGGACAAGTTCATTTTATTTGTGGGGGTGGTTTCTTTTTTACTTTTGCTTCCAACCACAAGGAGGGCAATCTGTGTCAAAGCTGGAGAATAAGAGAATACCATGAAAATTTACAAGCCTCTACTCATTAAGGATATGCAAAATAAGAAATTTTTGGCTGGTGAAAAAGAATCTCACATTGTTGTAGTCTTTATAGTATTAACTGAAAGCAAAAGCCTGTTTGAATTTTTTAATTGAGAAAAGCATATGTGGGGGAAAGAGCTGTTAAGTTCTATGCCGAAGCTTTTTTTTTGTTTTCTTTTCATTTTGATTTTATTGTTTACTAGTAACTAGTAGGAAGAAAAAAAAGAGCTATATCAAGATCCAGATCAAGATCCTCTTCATCAAGGACTATTTTTTTCTTTAAGAACAAAGCAGTCAACTTTCTGGTTTGAGTACAATGAAAGTTTATATTTTCATCCTACCTGCCATAATAAAGTTGAGAGTTAAGAATTTTTAAATTAAGAATTAAGAATTTTTAAAATTAAGAATATAGGCATTGGTAAACAATATGTAAATACATGCATTTTAATTATTTTAATTAAGAATATTTTTAATTTTTAAATTAAGGATATAGGTGTTGGTAAACAATATGTAAATACATGCATTTTGAACAGGGTGGACTTCTTTCTTGATTTGTGAAATGTATGGATTTGTAGAATTGATTTGCATCTAGGACTTTTTACCCCAGTAAATCACAGGACAAATATAATTTTATTTAACAAATATAAATATGTGATTTTTAAAATGTGCTTATATATTTACAGTTATCCTAACATGTTAGATGTTGTTTTCGTGTATGTGTGTGTATTGATGTGCATTTTTTCTTTTTGATTTATTTTTCCTAATTTTAAAGTTGGAGTGAAAGAACAATGTTTAGTATATGATACATAAAAAAAGACCAATGATGTTATTGTGTTTAAATATCTCTATATGGATATGTTTTGTTATTTTGTGAGCTACGTGCCAGAGTTTATTGTAAAGAACTCTATTGATAAAATAAAGATGAGAAAGCAGTGCAGAGAGAAATAAAATATAGTTGTCATGTTTCTGATCTTCCTTATTTTTTAGCATTTAACAGGAATGCATGCCTCTCGTCTTTGTGTGAAGATGCAAATATTCTCTTAATGTAGTTAAAATTGTAGAGTAAGAGCTTTTAAGTTTGTGAAAGAAAGTGAGCCGAGATGCTGGGTACTGTTCAAGCTTTATTAAAGAAATCTGCTGGTCTGTGCTCAGAGTGACCCAGGGCCGAGGGCTGCCCTGAAAATGGTGGACAGCCCCAACAATGGGTTTGTGAGAGTTTATATTAGCTTTTGGGCATGAAATGTACAGGAGGAGGGACCATTAGGTTGATGTAACTGGGTGGAGAACTGCACCCATGGGGAAGCCAGAAAGTTGTTTCTAAGTCAGGAGGCTTCTCCTAAAGGGAAGGGGGGAGCGGAGGGGAGGAGGTGGGCAGCGCCGTTTTGTACTTTGGCTTGTCTAAATTGGCTTTGGTTATGTTGTGGATCTATGAGTTTGCAGTATGACAAAAGGCATTTATAAATATTGGTGTTTATGAGTATTTAATATCCTCTCCATTGAAACTGGGGGACAGACCGCAATTTCTCCTAGCTATTCTCCTGACCCCAGTCGGAACGTGCCTTAGCTAGGGGGAAGGGGGAAGTTAAAGAAAAATTGCTTGACAAGGCAGTACGGGCTGGATTCCTAGGGGTAACAAATTCAATTAATAATAGGATAAGAACAGAGTTGATTAAACACAAACTTCCCTAGGCTAGGACTTGATCTGGAGGTCAGGTTGTTTGCTCCTTAGGCTAAAACTTGATTTAGAGGTTGGGATGTTTGATATTTAAATAAATGCCTGTGGTTTAGGATTGCATCTGTAACACCAATCTCGAGTTGTCTTTGCAGATGACAAACAACTACAAGCCCGCTTTGAAGTTTATATACCTCCAGACTCAAGGGAGCCAAGGAGGACTTTAGCCAGAATACTAGAAATAATTATGCTGACCTTACCACTGACCAATCATATTCACACATAACTCCCTGGTTCACACATGACCCACTCGTGATTTTGCTCTATGTGTAAGAAATGTTTGTGCTGTGATTAGAGTTCTTTTTCTGATAGATTTTTTTTTCTCTCTGATGCTCTAAACCTGTTTAGTAAGATGAAGTTTGAAAGTAGTTGAATTTAGGGTTCTTGTTTGAGCAGACTGGTGGGAGCATTTCTTAATAGCTTTTTCAAGAAAATATTAGTTTTTTTACTGAATGGATTAAAAATTACTTTTAATCTTTACTGTACACATCATAGAAAATTTTGGTTTATGAATCCTCAGAAAATTAAAACAATGTCTTGGAAACAATGGTTTGGAAAATAAGCAATTAAAACCATAAACTATTTAGGGAGTATTTGGAAATAGAAGGCTCACAACCTACCTATATTGAAGTCAGTATGCTAATTCTAGACTAAATTCTACCACAGGGTGGATATTTTTTTTTTAATGTCTGAATTTATTAACCTGTGAAAGGAAAACTTCAAATGGAAAGTAGTAACAACGCCTTAATGGTGATTTTATTGAAAGCCTACTACTGAAATAATAAGTTGCATTCTATTTCCAGAGCAGTGGCAGCTGTCAAACACCAACATTTTCCCCTGAGAATAGGTTTAGTGTAGTGTGTTTTTCAAGGACAAGTTACTCAGCTATTGTTTCTGTGAGCACTGCTAGTTAATATTCAACAGTTTTCTTAATCAGAATTGTGTGTCCTGCTCCCCAGAGTGTTTGTTAAAGTGATTGTATGTTTATCAGAGCCTTCATCAGCAGAAACAGGGTATTCCTGGATGAGATGCTGGTAATGAGAACTTATATTATCCCACGGTGCTGATAAGAAAAGGAAAATACTGTCAAAATACATTGTTTGTAAAAAAAAAAAAAAAAAAAAGAAGAAAGAAATAATTACTGTAGCTCAAAAAGTCAAACCCTTCTTTGAAGCCCTTGTACTTTATATAACTTCAATTGTTTATCTTGGATAATGGGGTGCCAGGGGTATGGTGATATCCCGCTGTAAACTCCAGGAATGGCATGCCAGTGATCAAATAGTCTGGGGGGTCTATTAATCATTGCTTCTGTTGGATAGCTGATTAAGGTTCTTCACAACATGTTTCCTTTAGATTACAGAACATTCTTAATGAAGAAAAGCTTGGGGCATTATAGAGCTCTTTCCGGCATTGGACAATCATTTTGAAAGGTCACATGGGAAAAACAAGCTTTGTCAAAAGTAAAATAATGCAGCTAACATTTTCCATGAAATATTGTGCCTAGAATACAGGTTTTGTAACTGCTTTTGTTTTTAACCCCAAACTATTTTCTGTTGCCAAGTGATGCTGCCCTGGAGCAGAGCAATCCCAGTTGGCTATGATTTTTTTCTGCCATGCATACCTACTACTTCCTGCCTCCTCCCTGAAATTATCAAAGATAGGTTATTTGAAAAATGTCTGCCTATAATACCATTATTATAAAAGAACATTTATTTTTGGATTTTATTTGTTTTGTCTGTAATGGACCTCAATGAGGAATGAAATCTTCTGAAAATAATCCTTTTTAGTTATTATATTGATGGATTTCCTCTAGAATTAGAACATTCAATAATAAAAACACATTTTGGGGAATTGTTTCACATAATAAAAAGCACTCTTGGACATCAATTAAGAAACAATGCACCTATATCCCACAGGAGTTAATCTCTGTAAATAACACTAATTTTGAAGGCTACAGCCAGTGAGATATTGATCACTTCAATATGATACTGAAACATGTACTGCACTTTACATATTGATCTTTGACATTAAAGGATGGGTACATTAATGTAAAAAATTGCCACTACATATTTGAAACTTAAGCCATACTATTTGCTAATATTCAAAATAACTCATTTACTTGGTATTGTTATGTTTAGTCAATTAATTTTGTCTTTTAAATAAATTGATCAATTTTATGTTTTTTATGTTCTTAGTTGTAGCTTATAATTATTTCAAAATGTGAATTACAATCAGATTGATTTGATACCAGGTTTTGTAAGAATTGCATATAAGCCAGCCCAGTCTGGAGATGGAAACCCTACAAGTTAAACAAGTGAGTTTAATATTAAAAAAAAATCATGGAACTATGACACAATAGTAGCTATAAGAAATAGGGAAACCTAAGTGGCATCCTAGGGTGGAGGGAGTGTGCCAAGGAAGGACAAATTTGGAAGAGGTTCAGATCTTGTAGAGAAGGTGTAATTCATCCCACTGTATAGCAGAGAATTTCTGGGTTTGACTGAGCTTCCGGAGGTGGTTGGTGGTCTGTAATTACTGGGCAAGCTGGCAGCAAAGAGAGCAGGTAGGGCATGGGCAACCAAACTGGTGGTGCACTTCAGAGAGTGTGGGCATCCTCTGAGGCAGAATGGGGGGCCTGCAGTAGGCTAAATGAGACTGCTAGGTGATGGGGAGTTCAGGCAGC